ATGCATAACTGAGATCCGGGTCCGGAATGGTGAAAATGTGCGATTTTGATGCATTTTCGGCCTTAAAATGGCCGCTATTCGGCTATCGTTAATCAGATCATGAAAAAAATGCATGTGCATATGTCCCATATAATGTGTGATGTATGAATGAAGTTTGAACTTAATCGGTCCATGCATGTTCGAGATACAGGTGATCACGGACGCACGGATGCACGGATGCACGGACGCACACAGGGCAAAACATAAGTCCCCATTTTCGGACCAAGTCCGAACAGGGACTAATAAAAAAGGCACTGTTTCCATGGAAATAATGTACCCATGTTTAATTTGTTTTTTTATTTATTTTATAGAATCTTAGGCTCAGTGAAGAATTTGTTACTCTATTCTGTATTTAAAAAAAAGTAAGTAGGATATTTGAAAATCAGGAGAAATATCACTGTAATTTAGGAGGTCACCACAACTTTCCTCAAATTATAGTTGATGCATACTCAAAATTAATGTTTGTTATTGTTTTCGTAGCATATTCATTTTTTGTTAGAAAAACCTTTCCTCCAACAAATATATTGGTCTGACCCTTATTCAACTGCACAAGCTGATCTCATACACTTCCACATTTTAACATACTCCAACACATATATTGGTCTGACCCTTATTCAATGGTACATGCAGATCGCATACACTTCCACATTTTAACATACTCCAACACATATATTGGTCTGACCCTTATTCAATGGTACATGCAGATCGCATACACTTCCACATTTTAACATACTCCAACAGAAATATTGATCCGACCCTTATTCAATAGTACATGCTGATCTCATACACTTACACGTTTTTCTGCATGAATTAGCATGACTAGGCTTGCTGTGGTTGTTTGAAAAAGAAAAGAAATTTGACCCGAGCGCTTGGCAGTTGTTGGTTCTAACGTACAACATGTGCTAACAATGCATTGTGACATGTATCAGTCTGTTACCAGTACGTCAACAACACTGTACAACCCAATATCGCAAACCACACACAGCGAACACATGGTCAGTTCCCCCTGCTTCTTCAGTACATGATTTGATCCTTATTTTGCCTGTACTTTGTAACATAAGTCAGTACAATCATAATGTAGTTTAGTCTATGGTGGAATCAACAAAATTAAAACAAATTTGAAAATGATAATGATTTCATGTATGCATTACTTTCGATCTGATGGTTCAAATTGTTAATTGTGTTCATGGAATAAAATTGATGACATTATGCAATCAAAAATGTGTGTATCTGGGTATGGGATGCTCTACCGGTATTAGTAGTAATTACAGAGCACTTTCTCTGTTCAAAATAAGGCACATTTTAGGGATTCAGTATAAATCAAATGTGATTTATTCATATGTGCTACCATTGAAGATGTGCTTCTAATAGAGCAAATGCTTTATATACGCAGATTTTACTTTGTACATGTGTAGAGCAGTGATGTAAATGTTATTGTAGTAAGTGAATGGATTACTTTGAAGAAGGATAACCACAAGGGTAACTTAATTTAAATGTTGACAGCATTGTGGTAATATTAGATAATACTGCGGTTTTGAGGTACATGTACATGCACATGTTTTATTGTAATATCAGATAGTCCTGACATAGTCCTATGGTTTTGAGGTACATGTTACATTGTGGTAATACATGTCCTATAGTTGTGAGGTACTGGTACATGTTCTTGAAGCCATGCACTAAATTTATAATACATGTACAAGTAAATAGGCATCCTACATATATTTATAGTGAGACACCCTGTAAGTGGTTTGTTTTTGTACTATTTTGGTATAATATAATACATGTATGTACTATTAATTCTGCTCCTAATTTTGTTGGTTCCTTACAATTATTTTTGCTAATACAATTTTATTCTGAAAATTCTACTGTTTCTCCTATCTATACAGTGCACTTAAGTTCAATGGAATATTCTAAAGTTTTATAGTCAAGATTGGTCCTGGTAATACCTGGGGATAACACATCTAAAGAGGACAGAGGCATACAAATTTCACTGTTTTAGCCTACCCCGGGAGCTAGCCATTCTATTTATGAGAGTTATCGGATATAGTTCATATCACAAATTCTACTGTCTGGTTATAAATAACAATTATGGATGCACACATTTATCCATTCATACACAACCTGGTCGACACCACAGTCAAAGTACTGGATGCTTGTCTGAAAGCAACATTGCTAACTGACTAGCAAATTTGCTCATTAACTTGAATGCTAGAAGCGGCAGTAGTAACAAGATAAATTTTGTAAATTCGGGAAGCTCATTAGAGCAAAAGATAAAATGAAATGAATCATGTGATGGATAGTGAATTAAAGACGCAGAGCAGAGAAATGCTTTGAATAAAATTAAAAGTTGAAAAAATCAATTGAAAGTAAAAATACCAACAAACATACTCAACGGTACTTTTTATTTAGTATTTTGGTTTCAAAATTTTATATACTATTTTATTTTTTTTATTTTATTATAAAGCCTTGAGGTAATACAGTGAAGGGCATAAAGCTAGGGTCGTTATATACATGTATGTATATATATATATATATACATATACATGTACAACTGTATATGTATATATATATGTATATATATATATATATATATATATATATATATATATATATATATACATGTACAGTTGTATATGTGCATACTGTATATTTTTTATATATTATTTATTATATTTTTATAAATGAAAATCGATGTTAGAATGCAAATTGACCAATCTAGAAATGGTATTGTGACATCATCATGAGTTGTGATTAACATTAATGAGTTAGTTCAACATTATTCAATCAGCATTCAGCAAGCACATCATTTTGAATAAGTGGGCAGTTGCAGTTGCTATACCATGTGAAGGCATTATGTAAATAGACAATACTGCAATGTTGTTTGAATCATTATAGCTTAATGTGTGGTGTGGTCTAGCATTCTGTTAAATTTTCAGAGCCGCCCTGAGCACATTTATTTTAGAGAAGCATTCATAATCAAATTAGTTGAACACAGAGAATGCAGGTAGCAAATGAACACCAGTATTCCAAAATAAAAATAATTACAATTGAGAATATTTTTATTAAAAAAATTATACTACAGGCACTCACTGTACATTCATAAGAATGATAAAATGAGCTATACTCAAAAAAGAAATATACGTAGTCGGTCATACACGTGTTTGTTGCTGGTGTATATCGTAATAGTGTGACAGAAACTAACGAGCGTGTGCGAGTATCGGTATGGATAATATTATGGACGTACTCGAAACAATAAAAAAATATTTCCGACGACGAATACAGCATACTACGTAATAGATTGGTGAGGAAAAGTGAAATGAAATGGAACAGACATTTGATATGCAGTTGTACCAAGAACTGAGTTACATGCATACACGATAACATTACATAACGCAAACGGGTGGGGGAACAGGAGCGGCTAACATACGGCCTCTACTAAAAAATAAGCAATCATCTCCTCCGCCGTAAAATGTAAATACAGTGGGAAAGAGCGTGGCTACCTTTTGTGTCTATTGTCTTCATGCATTGTTCGTTCGTAAAGAAAACATCAATTAGTGAGACTCGATAACAGCGTTGACACATCCACGGCTTTGGCACACACGCTAGCATCCGATCACTGGCGTCGGATGTGATCAAAACCTACGATAGACTGTCAACAGAAACAGCGAGCGCCGTACAGACTAATAACATGTGATCCAGGGGAAGTTAGACATTTACTTACAATCCCGAATACCTACGGGACAACACATATTCTTACTGCAAGCATACCCACCTTATAAAGCTGCTAAATTAGTCAACAATAAGTGAATGCAAAACAAGTTACTGTTCTTCCTGTCCGCCATGTTGGACCTCGATTTGAAGAAAATATAGCGCCCTCATGCGGCAGCAAACTTACATTCTGAAGACCTGTCAAAATTTCGTCCCAGCCATGTGGCGGAGTTTACTTCGAATATTTTACCCCAAAAACTTGTTATTATACTGAAAGTATTCGTAAAGATTATAACACAAGCACGGAGACAAACAGGTAGGTTAAAACGAGACACAGAATGTAGTGTGTGTATGATTTTAAGGAAAAAATATAGACGTCAACATCAGCGGAAATGTAACTGACTGAAATGACCCAACGTTTTAAAATGTTCAGAACGGTAGTATTTACAATCACGTACACGGATCACTGGATTGATTAGATATATGCGGCTCGACCGTACGTCGGTCAGTCATTTTTGTGATTATTGGACTGTATGGATGGTATCTGTGCTGAGTTCGAATTTGAATGCACGTAATCGCGTATTTAAAAAGGTGGTGATCAATAATGCCAATTTTAAAAATTATTGAGATCGTTCTTGTAATTTTATTGGAATTTTTGGACTATTATACAAAATATTTGATAGTTTGAATAGCGTTATTGTGTACAATAGGGATGAGTACAAGTCGCCATTTTGAATAAAATGTTTTTGAATAATTTAAAAAGTTTCAAACTCAAACCATGCCGAAACTCTTTATTAACTTGCTGCTTTTGCAATTAAAAATTCTCTTTCTATGACAAGACTACCACTCACCCACTCAACAGCAGTGCTATCTGCAATTTCATGAGTATTGCCTTAATTGAAGACTGCACAAAACGATCCATGGCAGAGATTGTCATGCACCCGGAGAAGCCAGTTGAAGTGCAGTGGTTTCATGGTCGATAATTTCATATCTACGTTGATTTCATTGACATCTTGACCATTAATTAAGGGCTGTAGCAACTTTGTCGGCATACCACTTGTTGAATTGTTTTTTCAATCGATGTTTGAATTTCCCTATGAATGACAAGTCTAGCGGTTGCAGCTCTGATGTACAACTTGGAGGAATGAGGACTGGTGCAATGCCGGCGTTGTTTTTGCAGAAAACTCTCGGCTTGATATATATTGTGCCCCATATTGTGCTTATAACTCCAATGGTTTGGTGTATGGTAAATGTCCCATTCGGTGGGAAACTGAGTGTTTGGGTGGCACAGATCAGTCTTTCCCTTGTACAGCAGTTGCGGTGGCAATGAATCGCTGGCCAAGGACACTGCAAATATTGTCGTTATTTCTCGCTTGTCTTCCAGGCCTATGATTGGGACTTGTCGCTCTCTCTCCTTGGCTCATGACCTCGACCTAACGGAGACAATGTGTATGCCAGTTTGGTTAAAATTGATCACCAACTCAGATGGTATGGCCTCCTGGGAAACTGCGTTGGTAATGCATTCCAAGAAAGACTCCTTAAGTTCGTTGAAATTGCCCTGTAATTTTCTAGCAACTTTCGTCCCTTGCTGCTTCACGTAACCCATCCTTTGCAGCAATGACTCTGACCAAGTACGTGTCAATTCCATAGGACTGCCAAATTCTTGGAGCAGAGACTGATTACGGTGTAACACAATACCATGTGCGCCTGCTACCACGATGTTTCTGTTTACGATGTCCCCCGAGTCTCTGACGTTATTTACATATCCCTTCACTCGAGAATCAAGTTTGCCTAAAAGTAGCGGTCGACCACGTTTGGCATGATGAATACTGGTTACTGGTTGAATTCTTGATTTTTGGACTTCTTTGATGTAGGCTTCTTTCATAGATCGAATGGTACTTTCATTGATGGTTTTACCAAGGAAGACAGTGAAGTGGCGCACTGCTCTGGAATAGCCATTTTCTGCTGCAAATTTGCCGATCTTCGCACTTAGTTATGGACTATAAACTTCATACTGCCCACGCTTTCGTTTTCTGCCATGAGAACCCAGGGTTGTGAGAACTTTGAAGACTTCTTCATTAGCTTGACATGTTTCATCAGAATTGTCAGTTGACACAGGATCTGGAAGACCCCAGGCCTAATGGTGGTAGCATCGGGATTTTGTACGAGATAACGCAACATCGTGAAACGTAAGGAAGTCAGTATGCCTGATGAAAACAATCCCCAAAACCCAGGCTTAAATGCACAATATGACAATGAAAGTGTGAAATACAGTGATAGACATGTCTATTGTCTTGATTAGGACTCATCAGTACTCGTATCATTATCAACCATTTCGTGTGCGACGTCCAGTCACACCACATTCCCTTTGAATTTAAAAAACAAAACACCTATTCGGCATTTTAAAATTTTTCCCTCTAGTTAAAATGTGAAAATTTATCATTGCTAACAACTCGGGAAACAAAAAAAACACGAATAATTCTAGCAGCAAAATTATTACGATTTACAGTATCTCTTTTTGGAGGATGTGGTGACCCTTTTTTGTTTGATCTATTGTTAGACGGTTCAAGTGAGAGATGGTTACTATTGTAGCTCGGACTGCGTAAATCCCTCAAACCAGTCGTCCTCGTCATCATCCAACAATAAATCAGAAACGATGTCTGCTATTTTTTAAGTACTTCTGATGAGATGATCTTCGGCACTGTTCATGGCATTGGTTATACCACAAACTTTATACGAACATGAAATCATAGACGGGCCATTGCGGTTTTTTCCCCCATCAATCCAGTTGACAATACTGTAGTTTGCTTGTCTTCTGTCTTCAGTCAAATGTCGTTGGTGGTATTAGCCTGTGCTGCTTTGATAGCAGCGTCACTGATGAAACTTGTCCAGGACTTTCAAAGTTCAGACTTGAACTGTTTGTTAATACAAACAACTAAAGGCTGGAGTTTGGATGTTGCCAGGCAGGTAAAGTGTTCACACCATGATATCTTGACTTCACAGATTCAGTGATGTGCCCTTGAAATGAATCAATAACGAGCATTGAATAGCGACACTCTGTAAGGCCTACAAATTTCGTCGATCCAATGCAGCATTAACGTTTCGTCCATCCAGGCTTTCTCTTTGATAGCCACAATGAAACCAGGAGGAGATTGTAGCTTTAATTCCTTTTTTCTCTTAAAAGTTATCATTAGGACAGAATATCTCTGTCAAAACAACTGTCAAGTGTTTTTTCTCTGCACTCGTAGTGTGGACTTGACAGTCTTCGCACCTCTCACTTCTACAGTTTTGTTCGAAACCAAATCAACGAAAACTTGCCATGTTTCCAATATAGTCAAAATCGCCATCTCGCCTTTTGACGCAGGCGTATGTCAGTAAATTATTAAGCTTCACTTTCAAGTCTGTAGGTAACCTTTGCGCTACAGAAGTTTTTGACCGCAAGACAAGGTTGTTCCGCTTCATGAATTTTTAGCACCAGTGCAATGCTTTGAACTCCAGGAACTCTGGTTTCATGACCGACAGTGCGCGACATTGTATTGCATCCATTGTAACGGGGATCTGCAGGTCGCGTTTCTGTAGAACCCAAATAAGGACGTGTTCATTCAATTGTGTGCTGTACGAGACAACACTATCTCTACCCTGTCTTCTACCACCAGCTGTAAAATGTTTCTAACAGAAATCATATTTGCCCCACCTTTTCTACTTTGATGGAGCTATTTTATATTTCCATGCGGCGGCGTTAAATCCCATAATTTTGGCCACCTTATAAATTTGCAGCGTTGTTTGATATTACAGTGTTCTCCCCAGGAATTTAAACCACTGTGGCTGGCTGATTTGCATATAATTTGCATATTATTTACATCATAATAGAAGTGTGCATATGAATTACAAAGACCAAGGCAGGTTTACATCCAGAAACACTTACTTATTAACATTATACATATATACAATTATATTACATTTTCAAGCACAAACTATAATATTCAAACATCAGCTATTTTTTCTGTATTTAATCTAATTGACGTCTTCTTGTCTTGGTCATTGCCCATGCATCTGAAGCAGCCTTGAAGTCAAACTTTTCAATTGGTGATCCTTCTACACTTATGAATAATAAACATCCTAATATTTTTTCAGAAAGTCTATTTCTCAGATTGGTCTTGATTCTTGATACAGCTGAGAACCATCGTTCACAATCTACAGGTGAAAAGAGTTCAGATTTTACACGTAGAAGTGGAGTTTGAAACAAATAAACTTGATATAATTTTATAACTGTGATGTAAAGCTTTTTAATGAAATTTGATGATATAATGTACTTACCAACTCACTGTTGATATTGGTAGTGTGAGTGCCACTGCAGCTAGGTAATGTAATCCAGGTGTTAAATCTTTATACTTGGTAATAATTGTTTTCAGCACGTCTTTATATTTGTAATCAGTGTAACTTGTCATCATGGCTGTCTGTATTAATGTGTATTCACTTCTTAATGCCTTCCCATTCATTTGATAATGATCAATCAACATCTGCCACAGAAAAAACAAGATTAGATGACTCCGCAATATAATATCCAATATAAATTATATTGAATACAACAATCTACACAAATCTATGTTATACAACAAATCTGCTTACATCAATTCAATTTGTTTATTTAAAGTCAGTTTGAAATACCTAGCCAAGGGCTAATATCACTGACTACTAAAAATTACATCAAACAAAAGCAAAAATTACAAACATCAAACATCAAACACAGAGAAAAACAACAATAAGATTTCCAAAATAATCAATTAAATATCTTAAAATGATGGTGACCACAATGACACCATTTGCTTAAAAAAATACAAATCTTTGCACTCCTTCATTGGATGAGGAAGCGAGTTCCACATTTTAGCACCATAATAAGACAATGACTCCAGTCCATAGCGTTTAGTCCTTTGTCATTTTAACTGTAATTGATGAGAATTTCTTAAATTGTACATTACATTTTTCTCCTTGTATAAATCCCACATAAAAGATGGGGAGAGTTTGTTTACACTTTTATAAACTTCAACAAGTACAATGTACGTCACGATTCCTGGACATCTCTAGTGTTTGTAGTCCAGCACGTTCCAATAAAGTTTGATAGCTGGACTGAAAAGCATTGTACACAAATTTCAGAGCTCTGTATTGAATACGCTCCATCTTAGCAATGTTTGCTTTACCACAAAAATTCCAAACTGAAGAACAAGAAGTAAAATGTGATAAAATAAAACATCTAAATATACATAGTCTTGAGGCTTGATCTAAATAACCTGACATTCTTTGCAAAACTTTCAATTGGGCACCTGCCCGTTTACACAGAACACTAACATGATGAAAATTTAAATTCTGATCAATATTAATCCCGAGCAATTTAACACTAGTTTCAGTTTCAATAGCAACACCCCCAATACTAAAAGTGGTATTGTCAGATTTGTCATTTACTATAATTGCTTGAAATTTATTTATATTAGCTTCCATCATGTTATCTTTGAACCATTTGACAGCCATTTCTGACTTTTGAGTTAACTTGTTTATCAGCTTATTTTTATTTACACCAGTAGCTGATATAGTATAGTCATCAGCGTAATTATAAAGTGACATATTTGTAGATATTGCAAAAAGGTCATTTTCAAAAGTATTAAAAAGTACTGGCCCTAAAATAGACCCCTGTGGGACCCCCATAAACTGAGCCAGTCATGCCCAGATAGTTTGACTCTCTGCTTTCTAGATGTAAGATAAGACCAGATGAAAGCACATCCCTCCACTGACATGCCATAGGCTCTCAGCTTTGTGAAGAACACTGCATAACCTTAGATATAGGTGGCAAAATACTGACTGGTCTGTCTGTTGTCTTTTTTAAAAAGTGGTACAACCTCAGCTAATTTAGCATTTTCAGGAAAAATACTCTTATCAATGCATTGGTTGAATATGGTGGAAATATGATGGCATATACTGGAAGCACCATGCCTAACAGCCTTGGCGGTATATTGTCATACCCTGTGGCTTTCCTTGTATTCATATGATTTATTATTTCTTCCACACTCTCAGGTGTTGTGTGACAGAAAGAAAAGTTACACGAATTCAAATTTTGTTTTATATTAATGATACTAGGGTGATCTTTAAAATGTTCTTCACAAAGATTCACACATTTAATATTTGAAGTATCATGTTCATTGTACTGAAGATCAATATGGCCACCTATCTGTGACGCAATATTAACATAAAAGTCGTTCATTAAATTGGAAACATCGCAAGGATTTGTTTCAATTTTGTTGTTTGTTTTAATTATTATGGAACCACTATTCTTATTGCCCTTGTCTGTCGAAAAGGGTTTGATAGTTTTCCAAAAGTCACTATTAGAAATGTCAGTCACTAAAAGTCAAGTTTCTCCTGACAGGCATTATCCTCAGCCAAACTGGGATCAAATATTGAGAAAGCACTAATCAGCTTTACATCTGGAAACCTGGCCTCTAAATTCTGGCAAATATTATCAATATATTTGTTGTACACCTAAAAAATAGTAATTATAAAAAAGAAAACAATTCAGTGAAAAATAAAAAAACACAATAATTAAATTAATGTTTCTCATTTGCTTAAATGTAATCACAATTTTTTCAACATAATAAAATACTTACCTGTGACCTGAAATCTGTTTTCATCTGTGACTGTTTTATTGAATGGCGATAGATTTTCAAAATATAGGTATCCAAATTCTGCATATATTGTCTTGGTGTTAGATTAACAGCAATAATGGTACTGCTGATGATTGTATCAGGCGAAGTAAAAATCTGAAATTATGAAATCATAAGGCCTGGAAAGTATCTTAGTAGTAGTAGTAATTATAATAATTCTGTCAATGCATCTTTTATAATTAAATTTGGCATACCTGAAATAGCTGAGATAACCTTGTGAGGTGAGGCAAAATATCACTCATCATATGTACACTGGCTATGAAGTTGTATTTCTTCACAAATGTGGCCAAACCAGCTGCTATTGCATCATCTCTTTCATTGCCCCCTCTCCAAACTTGTAATTATTGCTGGCAATGTCTTCCTGATGGCATCCACAGCACGTTGATGTGACAGCCACCGAACTTCTTTAGCCTCTTTTAGCCTAATGTCTGGTTCCCCAAGAATTTTCTGTAATAAATAGGAAAGATTTTGGATACCAATCACACTGAATTATTTAAAGAGATTGATCGGCTTTGGAGTTACAAAACTTCTGTAATGTATTTAGTTATCATTCATACAAATATACATAATGTTTCACCTAAATTTCCTGGAGACCAGCCATTCTCAGAGAGCTGTTTTGGTAGAAATAGTCTAGCTGCTGTAATGTAGAACTGAACCTCTTCAAGTATTTTATATCATTCATAGCTTGATTGGAAGCAAGAGACAACCTATGGGCAATGCAATGAATATTGATAAGTACTATTCTTCTCTCAGTTTGGAAGAAACCTGTGGAAAAGAACATAAACTAAAAGTTAATTTTGAACATATCAAAATACAGGAGACTAATATTCAAAAACCAGTACTGCAGTGAGCAATAAGGTGAGATTTCTCCTGCTTCAACATGACAATGAAAAATAAATAAAACCTACCCAGTTTCTTTGCCCAACCATAACCGCAGCCCCATCTGTTCCAAGAGCTGAACAATCCTTAAAATTAAAATCAAGTTTGTTGAAGGTTGTCTCTGTACTCTTGGTGACAGTCTCAGCTGTACCATTAAATAAATCATCAATTCCAACAAATTTACCTAAATGGGTAACAATTAAAAAAATATACATATAAATTTTTGTGTTATGTACATTTCAAGTACAATAATAATGCCAAGAAACAGTGTAGAAATTGGTACCGGTACTTACTTCACATTCATTTCCATTCACTGATATATCTCATATAAGTAATTAGCTGCTTTAGAATGGCTACATTGGTTGTCTCATCCATCATCACACTGAATACATGGCTGGAGCGAATATCTGTATATACAGTCAAACCTGTCTATAGCGGCCACCCAAGGGACATTGAAATTTTGGCCTTTTTAGACAGGTGGCCTTTCTATACAGGTTCACTAATTTATTCATGAATATTAATTAGGCACTGAATCAATGTATTAAAACAGATCTCGCAACCCCATTTGACACACACTATTACACTACTGTACACAGTATCCAAACGCTTTATTACAAATAAAAAATGTTGATTTTAAATTGTATTATGTAAACTAAAATCATTTCACAAAAATCGATCATTGCACAATAATGAGTAGTATGAAATTAAGTATTTGAAGATTTGTACAGTAAAGTTCATGTTCAGCAGCAGTTTGAGTCTCATATCCTACTAAAGAAATCACTCAGCTTGCTTTGCTTAGCTATTCTGAATGTTTCTTTTAATATCTATTGTGTCTGGTAACTGTTCTAATAAATCGGAGTGTCTCTGGGCTATAGCAAATTCTTTCAAGAAGAAGGGAGAAGGGAGAGGGACAGTCAGCAGTGATTTATTGATCCCTCCAACATATACAAAAAGAACACTCGTCTATTGTGGTGATGGATCTCCTTCCAGTTACGTGACAACTTAAAAGTTTCCTCCCCAATCGCAATTCCCTTAACATTTTGTTCATTTTTTTTCAAAAATCTTCTCGACCTACCTCACTTACGAAATGGTTGATCCCTAATCAAAATATTACTTTGCGCAATCGAAAACTGTGCGACTTCTATGTTATTGTACTGATGCAACAATAGAAACATGTGAAATATGCCTGGCGACTTTGGCCAATGAACTGAGGTCAATTTAACATCTATTGTTAAATGTACCGAGGCAGTAGCATTAACCGAGAAAACAAAATAGTTGAATGAATTTAGTTGGACAACGAGACGATACAGCACACACATTCCCTCACAGTGATTGATAGGCAGTAACGGAAGCTACTCTACTTTTTGACTCGAGTTATAACCCCGGAAAAACAAGAACGCAAATGCGCAAGGCCAATTAGCATAATTTATTTGGATGGATAAACAACAGACATGGTCGTTTTCCTTTTCGCTATCAGTTCCAGTTATACATGCGTATTTATCGAGTTCAAAGTGAATAAATATCGATACTAAATAACAAGAGAGTTGTTATGTTTTTTTGTTGGTAATCAATTCGATCAGGGATTTTCCGTCGGCATTTTATTACAATATTAATTTCGTACCACCAGAACTTACGAAATTAAAAACATTTAGTTGAAGTCAAAATTCTCATATTATCTCCACTGACAAAGGTGTTGGATCGTACGCAAACTCTCGATGAAAATGACTTTCCGCCATGATGTATTTGCAGATTTGACCTGCAGCAGCAGCAGCGTTCTTTGACTTAATGGGTCAAGTTGGTTATTAACCAATCAGAATGCTGTGTTGTACCAATGCAATTCTTCGGAAATTCCCGAAGACTTTCCGGTAACGAAATGCGGAAGTGAATTATCGATGTCGAAGTACGATCTGTTGGAATTGATTTCAGCGAATAAACGACATGGTTTTTCCAAAAAACTAGTAACTAGCCATTTTTGAGAGGTAAACTGAATATGGCATGAAATATTTACCGCGTTTTACGTGTATTAATAAGCCATTGTCGAAGCGTAGTTTATGCACGGTTACCGTGGTCTATGCATTCACAACATGTTCACAGCGGTCGATATCCTCGCTGTATCATATATAAATGATTACCAAGATTCGTTACGCAAAAGACCAAGTTTTAAATTAGTTGCATTTTGAAGGAGTGGGCGCTTTGTGTTAAATATACCTGATTTAAATGTTCCAGGTAGCTGCATCCCATTCCTTTAACTAGGTCTAATTACGACGTGTGTGCGATCTCATTTTTTTGCGAGCCAGTAAAGACACTTCATGGTCCCTTCAAGTGCAAGTCGCTGTAAGTTACTACAAAACCTTCATCGACGGGAATATTTTCTTTGACGTCATTTTCTAACCCTACTGCTGTTTTATGCATAATCGACCTGGAATGTTTTAGGATGACATCCTTTCTGATTGCCGTACATGGAACTTTACTCCAAACTGCGTTTCCATTAGGGTGTGACATGCTAAACTTGCCACATAGTGTACAACATCTCTGAAACAAAAACAAGGATAATTAAAGCGAACCTAAATGCGGCCTTAATTTATGGTTGTGTATACTCTAAACTGTATTCGAAATAATATTACAGTGGTTTAAATTTGTTTTAATTATAACTAGCTTGGATAGGCATTTGAAGTGCTTGCAATTTAACACCATGGAGGCCATTCATGGAGGGGAATAAATAACGAACGAACAAACATATTTAACATCCGGGTACTTTTCAAAGCTATGACGTTTTAGTATCTGATTGCATTCATATACGCCATTGTACATAGCCGTTCATGCTGTCAAGCATTGTGTACTATTAGTATAAACTCAACTTTTATATGCACAATGTGCTTTTTAAAACTTGGGTTAGAGCCTTATGCGTTTGAACCACAGTATTCTGAGAGTGGAAGCCCAATTGCGGCAGCGTTAAAATACTGTAGAATACTTTATTTTCGCTTGGAATTTATTTTCGCTATTTTCGCTGAAGGGATGATTCCGTGAAAATAAAATCCAGTGAATATACTTTTTTTCCTATATTTCACATTAAACTCATGAAAAATCAGTGAAAATAAATTCCAAGCAAAACGCCCAAAAAGCTTTTTCAGCGAAAATTAATTCCAGTGAAAATAAAGTATTCCACAGTACTGTACTTCCCCGAACGTAAGCCCCTCCCGAATATGAAGCCCATCCCTCTATTTTTACTAGGTATTTATCGAGTTGATGGCATTCACGATTATAAGCCCAGAGTGTTTTTACTGGGCGTTGACAATATTCTTTAAAATATGCGTGTAAAAAGTGTGTTTCATTTCATGATTGGCACGGTAGTTTGGTTCGTGCTTTTATGAGAAAACTCGCATTAATTTCAGAGTGCATGGCGAACGTGCACAACATTCGCATCCTTTCTATTCTGTCATTTACTCAGAATGAACCCCGGTGTTGCAATACTGGAGTAATCCATATTTCTTTGGGTAGTAGCTTTCGAAAAGACAAAAATGTGATCGTTAAGTCGTGTACCTGGTTATTTAGCATGGTTTACTTTGAAACTATCATGAAAGGCCTAGGGTTTGAACGATGTGACATGATGTTGGCGACCGTGAAAGGTGTTTAAATTTTTCCTCCACACTCAGTTTACCCACGGTTACTTATTAACCGTTGTTTACTTTTCGGAAATTGCTAATCGCCAGTTTTGAGGGGAAAAAATCATCGTTTCTTTCGTTGCAATCAGTGCTACAGATCACATTTTAACATTGCGGTAATTCACTTCCGCATTGCGTTAAAAAAATCATCGTCCATAATCATTTTGATTGGTTAATGAAAGACATGACCTGTTAGGTCAAAGGACAAGATTAACCTAATGAGAGCAGTAGTAACGTCTGTGATGCGACAGCTGGACTATGACAATAAAAATAAAAATAACGAAGAAAATAAATGCATTCGAAATCAAATGTTATAGAAGACTCCTTAGTACATGTATCACATGGCGACATCAAATTGAAATGAAGAGGTATGGATGAAACTAAAAGACCAGCTGAAAGAAGGACAAAAAATAGAACATCTATTTATAACAGTCGAGGAAAAACAGTTGACGGCCAAGAAGAGAATGGGAAGATGACATCAAAGAATGGACAGAGAATGGAGAGCAGCTTTTCCATCTTGCTGATGACATAAAGGGCTGGAGGAGGTGCATCTGGTCATGGGTGCACCAACGGCCTCCTGAAGCTATGGACTTAAAAAAAGAAGAAGAAGAAGAAGAGTGGACATTTTCACTATTTTCAGTCACAATGACTGTACTATTAGTGGCCACCCTCAGATAATTTCGACATGGAGAACAGCTGGGACTAACAAAACATGTGTTATCGATAATATTTCTGTACATATATATAGTACTTTATATTGAAAATAAACAAAAAAATAGACATGCATCTCGAAAATTTTTTCCAAAGCCAATTCTCAAAATAAAAATTGTTGTGCCTGAGACGTATACCTTGCCGGTAAACATGTAGGTCGCCAAAAATGCAAACCTAGTGTAAGACACAATGAATTGTTTCTTTTCATAGCAATTTTGACATGTGCGTGAAACAAAGAAATTGAAAGAAAAGTCTCCAGACAGACAGACAAGAAAGCTAAATGATTGATTGATTGATTGATTAATTGATTGTGTATTTTACAGTCACATGCAAATTAATGTTGATTTAACCATGGAGCAGAAAAAAAAAGAAAAACATGATCTTACATATATTTGATTAATTCTTCAGGAAACTGCAACCTTGGTAGGGAAAATAATCTCCACTCTGTGGCTACAGTAAACAGTTTTGAAAACTGTGGTCACTTCGAAAACCACCACTTCATGAAAATAATTGTACACAGTTTATTGACGTTACGATTTATTTTTCTTGGCTGACAGAAAATCACAAATTGTCGATTAGCATATGACACCAGTTTGATCCCACTTGTTCATCTTTGTTTGGTCGAAAGTGTCTCCACACAGTCATCTCCTTTCTGTGACTACGGTAAACAGTAAAAAATATTATGCGACTGCGTTGAACAGTTATGAACACTGCGGTTTCTTCGAAAAGCACCACTTCATGAAAATAATTGTACTATCGTTATTTGTTGCGGTCATCGAACATGCAGTTACGATTTATTGACATTTCATTATTTTTTCTCAACTTCAAGCATGATGGGAACCACGAAGTCTTGGACAGTCGCAAATTATTCAGTAATAGCTGATTAGCATATGACTCCTGTTTGACCCCAGACACGCTTGTCTTTGTTCCAACGCTTCTCCACTCAGGCAAAACATTAGCATGTTTAGAAAGAATCATGATCTGGGATTCTTCATTGTGGGAAAAACGGTTGAATTATCTGAACAATGAACAGGAAAACGAACAGGAAAACAGCGGCAAGCATTATAATTATTCATCTGTCACCGTAACGCCATAAGTTACAGCGTGCCGTAATTTTGCGATTTTCTTCATCCTACCATATTAGGAAATGCGAATTCCAAATATGGAATGATTACACACGTAAGCATCCTCTAATAATAAAAAAACAAGCATGGCTGCCCTCAGTGTTTGACCGGACCGCACACTAAGGAGTTAAAATCTAAATCTGCTGTAAATGTTTTGGGTTTTGGCATTCCCATGATGTATTCCCCCCTGGAGGAAAAGATGTATAATAATAAGGTGTACTGTCTTTGTGCATACTTTGCTGTATCCTTGTAATAACTTCATATTATTATACAAAACTGTTGTGCCCATCACCTAGGTGTCATGCAAATACCATAGGTGTTGCTTTAGGTGTATGGCATATACTACCTCATACAATACATCAAAGACTACAAGATGTACACTTGTTCCATGTGCAATCAATAACTATAACCTTTCTAGAAAATATTACTGAAAATTCGTTCTTTGTAACTGCCATTGTAGCTTCACATATCAGTACAGAATAGAATAGAATAATTAATACCGTAAAGAAAGTTAACATTTCTTTTTAGGTTTTCAGATTAATAAAGTAAATAATAAAAGTTCATGAAATGTAAAAATTGATTTAAAAAAGAACACAAAATTGATGAACGACAAAAATACTACAGACTATTATTAATAATATAAGAAATATTAAAATACTGTGATATGTAAGTATATCTGTATGCAGCACAGAATATGTATAGAATATAAAAGAACATGACAAAATAAAAGAATTAGTCTTGTTTATATTTAACTAAATATTTGCAGAGAGTGATAAGATGGTTTGTATTTGGTGACTGTAGTGCAAGTTTAAATTGTTCTTTATGAGGTTTCTTTAGGAATATTATATACCGGTATGTCATCTCTGTGTTCTGTGTACAGTTTACATTCTAGTAAATGATGTAATTCATCCTCTATTTATTTACAGTGGGTGCATAATCTGTCTTTTACCAGTGTTTTTTGTTTTGTGTTCATGTCAATTTTCATTACATTTTTAGGTGAATCAAGATGGATGAAAAGAAGCTAGCATCACTTAAAACAACCATCAGAGCCGTTCTACAATCGTCTAAAGAAGGGGTGCTGGCAAGACTTTTTAGCAGTAAGCATTATTGATTTTATCAGGCTCCTTTTCGAAACTTTTGAAACTACTGTATAAGATGATGATGTATTTAAAAACTTAGCAGACCTCAAAGGGACTTGAACTTTGTGTTTTGAAAGGACGAATTTGATAAAATTGCCTTGGTTTTTCAGGGATAATATACCATGTACTCGAAGCTGTTTACAATTTCAACTTCTTCTTCAAAACCGCAAGTCAGAATGTTTTCAAATTTATTATGCAAGTACCTCAGATTTGTTCATTTCATCTCAAAATCTCTATTTATCTCTATATTTTTGGTGAATATTTTTGTTATTTTTGGTAAAAAGTGATTTTTTCGACTTCTTGTTGAAAACCGCAAGTCCGATTGCTTTTATGTTATACATATAGGTACCTCAGCTAAACCTCTCTTAGATTTGTTCATTTTGTGATGATATCTTCAATTCTCTAATTTTGATGAATATTTTTGTCAATTTTTGATAAAAAGTTATATTTTCGAATTTTTGTTGAAAACAGCTAGTCCGATTGCTATACATACTATACATATTGTTCATTTATAATGATATCTTCAGTTCTTTAATTGAAATGTGCAACAGTGGAGCTATCTCAGCCAACAGACTGCTTGTTTATGGGCAGCAAGGTAAACTGCTAGTGTCTTCTGCAGTCAATTCCTGTTGATGTCTTCATTCATTAATTAAAGACATTTGTATTTGTTTTTGCAGGAGATCTTTATGATATGACTGGTGAAAGTGTACCATATGCAAAATTAGGTTTTCCAGATTTGGACAGTTTCTTCCGATCAATTCATGACACTGTTAGGATTGGCCTGTAAGTAATGTGTCCCATTATGGATAGGAAGTGATTAAGTTTATCTTGGCATAATAGACCATTTTCCGTTCACTGCGAGAATCACGCGTTATGCGTGAAATCAAACGTAAAAACAGGACAAACAAAGGTCATAGCATCGTAGTCGCGTCAAACATCGCGTGGGATTCGACAAACGCGAAAGTATTTCGGGGACATTTCTATGCTTAATAATGTGCTGTCCACATTTGATAGGCAATTTCGATTAAGTGAGGGTATTCAGAAGCAATATTCCTCTGTCGAAGATCGGCCGGTCAATGTAAGCTACGAAATAAAGAAATTCTAGTTCAAAATCAAATCGTTCGATTTTTTCGGCAGACGTTCGATGCGCGTCTTTCACGCATCTCGCGAGATCTCGCAATTGTACGGAAAATCACCTATTGGCACAGTCAGATTGAGTTATATTCTTTCAATTTTTCTCAAGTTTAAATCCTAATGGATTAGTCATGGATTAGTCATTAATTAATCAATCTGGGTGAGTATGCCATATACTCGATGAAGAGACCCCCAAACCTCTGTTACTTTGGGTTTGTATTCCACAGACTCGGTGGGGAAGCCACTTGCCAAGATTTATTCATCTATGGATGGAAGTTGGTCTACAGGTGCTTGTGTTCAACTTGACCTTGTTGATCCTTGGATACTACTATCGTTTCAGTCATTCTTTGAACGATTATGTTTAACTAAATATTGCTACCCTACAGCAAGTTATTATCAACATTGTCGGTAAATGTACAGCAATTGCTTCCAATGGTGTTGAAGTTGTTTTGCTACAATCAAGTTTGTTTTGATACATTCGCAACGCACCCAGACTTCAAGTCGCTGCTCAACTGTCCAATCACGCACTCATTGACTGTGACTGTCACATTCACAGCGCAGTAAACAGGGATTCCCGACTACACCTGCGATTCGCGAAAAGATAGTTGAGCTGTATTTAGAAGGAATATCTTTTGCTGACATAGCGAAAAAGGTTGGTGTGACGAAATCTACTGCGTATAATATATGCAAAAAATTGTCTGAGTTCATAGCGGATCTAGCAACCGCATGTGTGTCCAAGTGAAAGTATAGTTTTATCCGCTTTGATATTTTACCGGCTTGAGTAGATAAGCCGGCAGTCGGTCACACGGTTGGTTTATTCTGTTTCATCATAGGTGATGACCCATCCAGAATGAATAGTTTTGCCTTTATTATGCCTCCTGGTGTAGTTGAACGAAGATTGTCGATGACCAACTGTTTGAATCAATGGTTTGTCGGTAAATCCAATTTCTGATTTTCTTCGTCCATAATTTGAATGTGAAGTGCGTTCATTCGCCGTAAAAATGGTGTCTTGTAATCAAAGTCTTCACTATGAAACTCGGCTTGTGATATATATATATTGGTATAATTCTTGTATCCCGATAATAAAAAAAACTCTACTTTGGATAAGTATTCCGCCATGAATGTCAGTCAGATCAGGTCAGAGTTGAAATGCGTTGTGGGTCCAATGACGGCGACTAGAAGTCTGGTGCGTCTCAAATGTATCAAAACAAACTTTATTGTAGCAAAACAACTTCAACAACATTGGAAGCAATTGCTGTACATTTACCGACAATGTTGATAATAACTTGCTGTAGTGTAGCAATATTTAGTTAAACATAATCGTTCAAAGAATGACTGAAACGATAGTAAATTACTCTTATACTGTTAGAATAAAGAGATTGTCACACAACCATATTGTGTAGTCTAGTTAAAGCATGGAATACTGTTTCCGTGGCAAAATGCACTCTCAAGAGTGAAAATCTGTGCATTTTCATCGTATGACAAGCATCACCAGTGAAAACAATGTTCGAAAACTATCACTGTATTTTGGACTAGTTGTTGAGACTTTCTTGAACAGTATGACAAGACTTACATGTGATGAATTCGGTTGTTCAGGATTACCTAAGTTTATGCTGTATTCTAAACCGGTGTTCCACTACAGCTTGCATGGAGCCCATAGAATACATGGTACAGTGGTGCTTGTCTGAGCAACGTAGAACGCTCTGTGATGTAACCCCGTGCTGAAACCGTCATCTGACACAAACAAGTTATATTAAGACGAATAGCATTTGGTTTTTTGATCTTAATGAATTATTTTCATAATCCAAAAAAAAATTTTTTTGAAATTGCATACGCTTTTTCAGAGCTTGTCTTTGAGAGTACGTAAATTGACTTTTGTATTGTTTCTTTTAATCTCATTTTTATCATCAGTAATAGAGATGGAGAAAAGACGTATTACTGTGTTGTTGATGAGTCCACAGCTCATCTACATAAAATGATATCGGCTCAACGGTCGTCAAAGAAAAGGAAAGGACGAGGTAGAGGGAAGGTTTGTAGACATAGTTTACCATTTGAATGCTTTAGTCCCATCAATAATATTTTTACTAACACATCATTTTCTGAAGTCCTCCATGGTTTGGTGTCATCATTTATTGTTGTCATCAATTCTGATCAGTTCCATCCCTCTTCGCTCAGATATCTTGTAATCGTAATCAGTTCTTTCCCTCTTCATTCAGATATCTTCAGCACGAAGACCTACATACCCACAACCAAGAAAAAGTTACTACACTCCCCGTTCATCTAGTCGGTATGGTCCTATGGCTACACCAAGATCCAAGTCTTACTCGTCTTCATCGTACATCTCTATGCCGAGAATAAATCCAGTCAAGGTGAGCACAGTTCCGTCAGTTAACTGAATGCACAATGATGATTTTAAAAATGTCCAAAACCACTTAAGTTATTAATATATTAATAATAAAGTTATCCCTAAGACCCCCTTACAAACTTCGTGTTCGATATAGGACCTATAAAGACATATACAACATGTGCAAAATTCATTACCTGAAATTTGAATGTGCGCTGCATGACTTCTGTATCACTTCAATTGGGTATCATTGGTTGCATGTGTACATTGTTCAGAAGAACGTTGTAATAAAATGGTGGCATACTAAATTTTACATATTTCCTACCTATATTAATATAAACTAAAAGATATTACAAAGTGTCATCAGGTCAGATGGAACAACTAAAGTGATATGTAATCATGGAATAAAAAAAGTCGTGAGTTGTAATTTTATAATGTAAGCATCAAGTAAACTGTTGTTAATGAGCTTTATTGTCTGATTCCCAAAAAACAATCGAACAGAAACAAAATTCCATTTTTTTGTCTAAAATGAACCTTTGAAGTTGCCCACTCCCTGAAGAGACGATTTGTTTCATGCAACTATGATGTAATGTACAAAAAAAATGTAACTGAAATTTTTCAAATTTTACAGCAAGTCTCAGAAGTATTGGGGCAGCCAATTTGCAAACTCGCTAGCGAATTGGTTAACTGCTTGGGTTTTGGCTAAACAGTTGGCTTTTGAATCTTGCTGGCACCGTCTTGTGATCACGCCCACTTACGGCGAATCTATATAACAGTAGGGAGCGATCGTCATACTTAAGGAGCTAATCAGCGACGGTTTTACAGTTGGGTGGCTATTTCGCGTTCAAATATACTAGGGAAAGTGGTCTTTTTCTTTCGTATCCACGTAAAAATGATGAATGTCTTTTTTAGCGGTCGGCTTAATTTTACCCCCACGGATCTTTTGTATCCCTGATTTGTAGAAAAATGTTTCTCAAATTGACTATTTACATTTTGTAGTTTCAAGCAGTGTTCAAGATGGCTACCCCCATATAATATCGGTGAAATAATCAATTTATCATATTATCACTTGTATGCCAGCTGTGGTTATTTCCAGGCTCAAACCGGGGGGCTCAAATTACTCATAGGGGAATCCAGACATGTACCAGGCTGCGTAAAAAGCATTCTATGTTCCCTACTGCAATATAGACTCGCCCAGAGTGGACGCGATCACAAGTCGGCGCCAGCAAGATTTGAAAGCCAACTGTTTAGTCAAAACCCAAGCAGTTAGCCAATTCGCTAGCAAGTTTGCAAATTGGCTGCCCCAATACTTCTGAGACTTGCTGTAAGCATTAGCCATAACTCAATACTAATTGGTCAATACAAGATCACATGATCATCAACAGATACACTGTAACTTGCAAATTGAATTACTTAATCGGTAGATATGGTTGTTCTATATCCTAGTTGAATAGCAACATTCAACTTGTGTTTCTTCTGTATTTTCAGCCAGTACCCCTTGAAAGCACTTACCAACCGAGAACAAGTAGCAATGCGTACCAACCAAGGTCGAATTCTGTGACATCAGTCTACAACAAACCCACTGTGAAAAGTACTGTAACTGTAGTCTACAACAAACCCACTGTGAAAAGTACTGTCACAGCTGTGCCTTCAAGCCATAGTACCTATGAAGTACCTCCAAGATTTCAGAAACAGAGACAACAAACTAGTAGATCTGACAGTAGCAGCAGTTATACAACTGTATCAACTGATTCTCACTCAGCCTATCTACAGTCAAGTACAGACATATTGAAAGGTAGAAGATTTATTAATTCAATATACTGTAAAACTATTAATTATTCACTGGGATTTAATTTAATACTCGCGTGGAGGGAGGGGGCATCTGGAAGTTTCTCTGCCTGGCAACCATCACCGGTGAAAATGAAGGTCGAATACTCTTAATTAAAGCGGGAGGATCGTCACCTGCGCACACGAGGGAATTGAGTCCCAAGCGACGATAACAACACATGCCAAAAATGTAAAGGTAAAGGCTCATGGGTAGACGCTTGTTTGTTAACAATGACACGCTATGGCCATCTGACGCATGCGCAGGTGACGACACCCCCGCTTTAAGCTTGTTTTTGACACTCTTAAACAGCGTAACAAGATTACCTTCACATTTGCAAAACATACATGTGTAAGTTTAGTTGTTCAGGATTACCTTGTGCAGTTTTCTTGACTTTAGCCGACTCTTCAGTTAGCGTTCCACAGCAGTTCACGCAGAGCCTATACAAATGCATGGTACAGTAATTGCGCGACTGAGCAACGTAGAATCTTCTGTGACATAGCTTCGCCCGATCATATGTAAACATAAACCTCAATGTTTAGGCGGCCTATTTGTGTACATAATCAAATAATAAAATTAAAACTGGAAATAAAATTAAAGTGGAAATGTATTGTTGTATAAATGTCAGTGACTGGTGAGAGCAGATTTTGTAGTCACCACAGGCACTATGCGTTTCAGCATTTTAAAACACAGTGGCAAGGCTGAAACAGTTTTGCTATGTTTATTTTAGGTATTGAGGATTACAAGTCACTTTTCCAAGAATATATTGATAAGAAGTTTAGGAGACAAGTAGATGTGAAACTATTCCAATCTGCAACTTTTGATTGGAAAGCTTCTGTAGAATTAAATGGGGAATTATATTGTAATACAGAAAGGGCTAGTTCTAAGAGTGAGGCTGCACAGCTTGCTTGTAAAGTCGCTATTACAGCGTTGTATGAGAATATCATGAAGTATGTAGATATTGGAAAATACTGTACTACCAAATTAGATAATTGTCAAGGTATGTTAATTATAATCAAATATTTGAATCAGATAATTTGAATAAAACTTTGGTTTTGAGTAGATCATAGTGAGTAATCAGTTGAAATAAAATGATTTTATCATACAAACCTTTAAGTTGACTCATTCATCATGTCAATTATAATGTATATTTAAGTTCATTGTTGGTTTTTTTAATCGTGTAATTTCAAATTATTAAATTTTTGCAGCTGACGTTTGCCCACACTTTTTACACAAACGGATTTCAGTATAGAAAAAAAGATTTCCTATCCTGAACATTATTCAAAGTGTAGGTGAACTACTCAGTAATTATACGATACTCGTCTGACTGTGCACTCATGCTCGAACAAGAGCCCACCTCCCACTTTTGGGACATCCCATTTTTTGTGTTTATTCCTTCCTAAATGATTCAAATTTGATTGTTGAGTCCAACAGATAATCAAATACATATAATATAAATCCCCACTTTCCAGTCTGAAAACAATATCAACAAGTTCATTATCCTTATTAATACTAACCATCCTAAACTAATTAGACATGTGACACGGTATCTGAAAGTGTGTTTTAAAAAACACAAACTGCACTAATTTTTACTGCCTAATCTTGTGTTATTTTAACGTTGTGTTTTTTACTAACCTTTTTACCTTAACTTTTGTTCATTTCAGCCAAAAATGAATTTGTAATTTCATATGGTGTAACAATACTGTATTATTATTATAATACAGCATGGTTTTTGACCGCCCTGAATATTGTACGAACAGTAGACCATGGGAACCATGTGTAAACTAGCTGCCATATTCAGTTTATCTTTATCTTAATATAAGATATTAATATTCAATAAATTGCAGGTAACTCAAGTCAACACAGAGTCCCTACCAAACCCACAAAAAGAACCAGGGAGGACGAATGGTTTGCGGACAGGATCAAAGAGGTAGGTCCAGTTTAACTCTGGATTCTATTTTAGTTTTGTAATTAATAGTTGCTTATTTTTAGTTTAAAGACTAGTAAAGTTTTTTTTTTAAATTTCCCTTTGAGCACATTACAGCAAACTCACATTCTTGCATTATATTTCACTTTTGTAGCCTGAATTAATTGGCCACCAAATTTATTTTCATAGAAATCATATATTTTGTTTATTTATCTCCTAAACCTTACCGAAATACTGACTAATGATTTTGTTACTAGGGGTATAATTTATGTAAAATAAAATCATTGTTTTGTGGCTTATTACCTTATTTCAACAAATAAATACTGCTGTGTTTGTTATCAAAACAGTGTTTATTTATAGTCACCATCTGTGGTTTCTTTGTAACGCATTTTAAAATTTCATATATATAAATAAATAAATGTATTTTACATGTGAATGAAAATGTCCAATGAAAAATATGGTCCAACAATTGACCTATTTATCACTATTAACGGCATCAAAACACACAAAAGCTCTATTGTAAGCACATCCCTTGTGTATCAAATCTGCATAACTTGTATTTTCATATCTACTGCACATTTTTCACCCAACATGTGTTTTTTCCTTTCTATCACTATAGTTGGTTAATTCCAAGCCTAATGGTATTTGGGGGACAAGATTTTCAGTGGAGTATAAAACAAAATATAAAGAAGAACCTCCTGCTGGTTTGTTAGAAAAGTTGCAAAGTTGGACAGATATTGTCTCTGTAGAAATGTGAGCATACATGTTTTTTTAGTTACATATACTGTAAAATACTTTATTCCTGGAATTAATTTTCACTGAAAAGCTTTTGTGAGATTTTAGTGTGTTCCGGTTTGAACTGTGAGGGCACTATCTCAATCAAGTCTCACCTTTGATGAGATTTCAGTGTGTTCTTGTTTGAACTGTGAGGGCACTATCTCAATCAAGTCTCACCTTTGATGAGATTTCAGTGTGTTCTTGTTTGAACTGTGAGGGCACTATTTCCATCAAGTCTCAGGTTTTGTATGATTTTAGTGTGTTCCTGATTGAATTTAGCCTAACATGTGGGCGTGAGTAGTGCCTTTGCCAACCGAATGGCAACAGACATCACTATCGCCTGACAGAATAGTGCATGTCTCGTCGGAAAGATCAGTACTGCGAATTCAAAAAGTTCACGCCTTCTTGCAATGAGTTTAATGAATATTTATTTTGGTGGCCATGGTAACATCTTCAATCGAAGTTGTGTTTGCATTGTCGGCAAAAATCACAACAAGATGTTAAACATAGGGCGGGAATTTGCCAGCACCTTATCTCACATTATGTCAACAAGCAAATAAACTCTTTGATGGCTGTCACTATCTGACGTTCCTGCAATTTGATTTGTACCGACAAATTCTTGTCAGGCTAGATTGAATTATGAGGGCACTATTT